CCCCCCCCACCCGATGTAAATCAGATTAGTTTACAGTGTGTCACACGTGCGTCAGTTCGTGTTACGTTTGCAATTGCGAAGCACCGCTCAGCAGCAGAGGATGAAGAGACCACCCATGACACTCATACACAAAAGAGTCTCAGAGCAAAGCCGTCAAGCGACAGACAGACAGCAGACAGACAGGCGCTAGGGCACGCCAGAGGACATCATCCCATAGGTAAGGTTTCTGTGTGTGTGCGGTCAGGGAGGGATGTTGGCGGTCTCGGTGAACCGGCTTAGCTCTAGACGAGGACGCGTGAAGTCAGACTGGAAATCTGACAGCAGCAGCGCATCGTTTCAACCATCGTACTGTAGTACCGAATGTATACGACCACTCAGAGCTTTGCTGGCGCGAGCAGTGTGGCCGAAGGGTATGGGGTACAAGCACCACGCTTTTCCGATGATAGCTTGGCGCTGCAAGTCCAATCTCCGTTGGGGATTGTACTTGATACGCGCTCGGTGCCGTGTTTTTCATTTGTCCTCGTTGTCCTGTTTGCTGAATCTTGCAGCATTGAGGTAGATGACTTCCACAGCACGTGGAACGGTCTGTAGATACCGCTTGTATCTCCCACGCCCTTCTCCTCTCCCGCCTCCCCTCCTGCTATCGGCTCGAGCTCTCCTTGTGCGTGGTGCGTGTCCACGTTTCTTCCGTTGTTTTTTTGTTTAAACTTCGCTCCTGTTACACGTTTTCACGAGACGCATCCGTCAACCTCCTCGGTCTTACCTCGATTTTTGCGGGTTTTTGTGTATGGTATCGGACACGATTTCCCCGTCATCCAACCCGCCAGTTCACCACTCACCTCTCGCGTCCATCGCCATGGCCGAACGGTGCGTTGTAGCTGTGCTGCATACATATTGCTTCCTGTATATTTTTAACGGCCTATGTACAGCTGCAGGTTATTTAACATGAGTTTTCTCTCCTCGAGAAGCTCGTCGTGCTGAGCTGGTCGTGTTGCACCTTTGAGCTTTTGAGCAAGATAATGCTTGCCCTCACATGAAGACAGGGGCGCAGCCGAGTCCTCGTGGCACCTCAAAGTGCCGTGGTTAACACTGTTGAGGGGGGTGATTCCCCCGGCGATACCGCGCGTCATGGGGGAAGCGATCGCTGCTTGAGTTCATGGGGCTAAACCTGGCAGCACCAAATTTCAGATTCGCTCATACGCCAGCCACACCGCTCAACTATAACCCTCGCACCATGTTTGAGTTCGGCAATATAGTCATGATCCGAATCTCGAAACCCCAAGAACGAACGCAAACACGGATACAGAAACGGATGGTTGACTTCGAGCTCGGAGAGAGCACGCAGCGGTTGACGTTGTGAGTACGCATGAACGCGAGTCACGAGATTTCCGTGAGCCAGTGCCATGGGTTGGATACCCGCAGACTGTTCCTATCTACCGCTGTGCTGTGGGCTGCTGCAGGTTTTTCGCGATTCACTGACGAACCCACCCAACGAGCAAGCAGAGTAGAGAAGAGTGCACACTAGAAAACATTCTGCAATGGGGGTGATCGTCATCGGGAATATTTCCCATGGATACTTGATTCATCGTCAATATTCTCCCTTACCTGTACGTGTCGAGGCACTTGGGGCTTCGGGGGCGCCTTTTTTTCCAAGATGAATCCAAAAACACACGCTGACGCCACCTACACTTCGGGCGGCCCGCTGGGCTACGTATCTCCCTTTGACCTGCACCCGTGTGACCTTGACCCTGGTGGTGCTATGTACTATGAGAGAGCCCTTGTGTGGGTTGAACGCGATAGCATACACAGTTTCTGCGCTATTTAGTCTACAACGCAGTGAGCACTTCACCGGCAGTAGATGACGTTATCTGGTTACCCTATGTTTTTCGCTTGACGCCGATTTTCGCGTCAGGCATTTTGCCACGTACGACTAAAAATTGCCGAGCCGGGAACGACACGTACATGAGCAAGAACAACAGCAGTACCCGTGGGCCCTCTCGTAGGAGAGGTAGGAGCCAGGCTGATTCACCGTCCTACAGCGGGCAAGCCGCCCTACTCAAAGCATATACCATGGTATATATTAATTTTTGACGATCTTCTCTTTTGCGCCACGAGATTTCACCACCCTTCAGTGCAACCATCCGCCATGCAG